TTGAATGCATATATTTTGTATAATTGTTGATTAGACAAACGAACGGGAGAACGACGCGAAGAGAAGAAAGCGAAGCAAAATTGACGAGCAGTGGAGATGGCTGGTAAGCCAACTTCCTGTTAACCAAGCGTTAATCAATATTTATAAGCACGCAAAAATAAATTACAGGCATGTGATGAGCAATGGGATAAAAAGTGTACATACACCTACGCGCTCATATAAAGACGGTCAAGATATTGATAAGCGAATAATTAACAAGGTCAGAATATGACTCAAATAGAATGAATAGAATGGGCTGTCCGAAAGTTAGAATAATAAGGTATTTGGGCTTAACATAATGGCAGACACTACAGTATAAAATAGAAAATAACATCCACAAAAAATCTGGCCAAATGTGGCTCTGAATGTAAGAGGCAGTGTCCAATAAAAAGGGCATAATCCAAGAATAGTAAAACGTATAGCAATAGTTCGTAGGTTAAAATAAAGCTTATAATAAGAGGAACATGAATATGACTAGTCTAGTTATTTAACAATTATACGATAAGAATATGCGTTTAGTATTGGTCCATAAATGGATCCCAAAATCAATGTTCATTATTCTTGTCGGGACATAGAAGATCGATAATACGCTAGCCTGATTATGGCCGAGAACAATTATAGTGTAGTGGATTTAGGGGAAAGAATACTTGCATTCACTCCATCACATTGTTGGTTTTGGTTTGTCTAATGAAGTAGAACCTGTAAGGTTGTTTAAAATGAGAGATAGGCTACCGGTTAAAAACGCTTGGAGATCTCAGAAATTCTCCATATTGTTTTACAATGTTACAGCCGAGCTTTCAAATGGAGGGAAAATACGTGAAAATAAGTGCAAGTTAATAGATGCATGATTAACTGTCCTTTCACTAAAATCATTAAAACTGCCTGACAGTCAGAACGCGATTTGTAGTGTTTGAATAAAAGCTTTTTCAACAGCAGTCTAAAATTCTCATCTAGAATTTGGAGACCGCGTTTCCGCCTAGTGGTTGGAATGGGCCACATTTGTACTACATACACCTGACACCATCTGTTATTTATCCTGTTTTCATCAGACATACTGATAATTATCCTTCTCTTGCTCCCCTAAATTCTTATTATATAGTCGTTCACATTGCGAACAACATGTATTCTGCCAGTTTGTTTGATAATTCTTGATCTCAACAACTCTAATGACGTATTAGGAATAATTGCAAATACAATTTCAGTTTACCATTTGATACAACTTTCTTTCGAACCCATCGACAGATGAAGCTTCAGCCGCGTATTGACTAAAAGAATTTCGCTCGTTGATAGTTCAATAGAAAGGTCGTTAGTCATCAGGGAAGTAAGTAGTTTTCATCAAATTAAACACAAACTTAACACTGTGTAGTAAAAAAAGGAAAATTATGCCACTTCTATGCGATGAGGGAAATGGCTTTGGCTTAATTATTTTCTCGTTATACAGCAGCTGTGCGATTCTGATGATTAACATTGTTTCTGTCCTTTAAATACTTCACAATAACTGTGTACGGCAGATCCCATACAATACATTCAATCAAGCATAACTATGACGCACGAACTACTTAGGTAGTCTGAGAATACTTGGACTTCATTGTTTAGTTCCTTTCTTGTTGATATAGTACCACTATCACGAAGTGATTCGAAGATGCATTCTCCTCTCTTCGTCCATTGAACTGTGTACGAGTACCAGCACTTTGGGTGTTTTACAGAATTCTTAATAATCTTTTATTTACACCTTCAAAAATTCCACGAAGGTACAAATATTTATGGCTTCCCAAAATTAAAATCATGTCATCAGAGAACGATGAAATAAATCTCGCTCACATCTTCTTCCTTACACGAAAAGTGAATAAGCATCCTTACTGAAAAATCATGAAGGTTATCTGGGATTTCCTGGTGGGTTAATATTACGTGTGACGTCATACGTTTTGTGCACTGATTCTTAATTACTTCCAGTCCGTTTATGTTTAGGATATTTGTTCTATTTCTCCAATCGCTAAGCGTGTAGATTCTTAGTATATCTGATTTCCTGAAGGTTCGTCTGGCTCACTTTGACACATTTATATTGAAAATTATATGGAGATTGAAAAATTCAACTGCATTGTCCCTCTTACTGAGTGGCATGTAGTGGTAGACGAATCTCCATCCATCAAGGATATTAATGATGAAACGGTGGTCCACTTCGTCGTCCAACTATGGGAGGCATACTTTGGCTGCACTTCTACTATCACTAAAAGCCGTGAACGCCAGTTAGAATCTGGTTATTCTGTCGTCTGACTGCACTAATAGGAATCACACGATTCCGGACAAACGCTTATCACCCACAAACAGACGGGTCGGTAGAACACTTCCATCGGCTGCTAAAGGCTTTCCTATCACCTGCGAATGATTCACAATGGACTGACGCCCTTCCACTCGTCTTACTTGATGTTCGAAATGCAATAAAAGCTGACTTCATTGCAGCTCAACTTGTTTATGGAACGACACTCCGACTTCTTCAATGAATATGGAAACAAACTTCTGCAAGTGTACGCTTACATGTGCAATGCGTTCAGTTAAACGTGTTTGCACTCGACCTCAATCAACAGATGTTTCCGTTCAAACTGTCCTCCCATATAGTACGCGCGTTACTGTACATCGAGACTCAATTCGATGACTTCTCGAAACGGCATACGAAGGACTTTTCAAATTCCTTCAGAGTGAACATAAGTACTATATCATCGATAAGAACGGAACTAAAGATAGCCTAAGGATCGATCGCCCCAAAGCCGTGTGTTTAGAAGGATAGACACGAGTCTCACCCGATAATCAACAATCACAAAGAAACTTCGACAGTATCTGACAACCGACTCTGGAAGAAGACTAAGGTTCCCAGAACACCTAAGCGATTACTAAACGTAAGGCACTGCATTACCCTTTGTTTTTTCTCAATTTTTTCTTGAATTACTGTGTGGAAAATTTTTTAAATATGTTTATATACATGTTTCAAAAAACATAAACACGAATTTTTTTCGAATATGTTTATATGTGCATATTTTTTCCAAATAAAATTTTTTAATGCTCAGAAACCTTTTCTGCTTCAATCCATGTTTACAAAACGCGTGAATATGGCTTTAAAACCCGTTTTGTGTCCTTGCGCACGTGCGAGTGTAATTCGACAAGCACCCATATATCCTATTTTCTTTTTCAGAACGGCTGGGAAAGACGAAAAACCACGAAGAACATGACGACCAGAGATTTTCATAATGCACACTTTTACACTTCCACATTGTTCCTTGTGTTGGGGAAATATACTGGTAAGCTATCTGAAGAGTGTCCACCAACGACGAGCTCGTTAGTTTCAAAATTCTGATTGAATGCATTTTAGTGTCATCATTATTCCGCTAGCGAGAGGGTATGCTGTATGAGTCAATAAATCCTTAAGATCAATAGCATTGTATGTTTAAGACATTCGATGCTGACCAGATTAGTCTTAGTGGACTAAAGGCTCTCGGTCACGCATTCGCAGTAGATCACGAGTGGGTAAACTATGCTACACATTTCCCACAACACTAGCCGGTTTACATTAATCACTTTCTGTGTTATCGATATTCTACTAAATATATCTTCAAAACTCTTCACTCCTGATTTCACTGAACTGGCATACTCTGATTGCGAAGGTGTTGCTGGATAAGGTGTTGTCGAACTAGGAATACTTGTGACATATTTAGCTAGTTATGTTTGTGACGTCATATCCGTGACAGGTCATTGTACGTTTTAGAGAGAACGATTGTTTCTAGTTAATTCTTTTACACGCCGTACTAGAGCACATTTAATAACCCTACGAAATATTTTTTGATATCGCTGCAATCTTTGTTGTTAGACTTTTTCTAGTTTACATCAGATGCATCGAAATGTGTCAGAGTTTCATATCGAACACCAAGCGAACAAATATTGAGTTTTTTTAGCTAGACTTCATCGCTTCAAATAATTTGTATATTTCACTCTCATTTGATACATTATCGAAAAATGCATTTCTAATGAATACAGTAACTACTTTCATACGCTTGTGAATTCTACCAGTTCGGAGGCCATGGATTCCATAAATCAAAAGGAGCGCTGATGCAAATTCATAAGAAAATAATACTGTTTGATATTTTGACATGAAATATTTTATCTAGTGATTGATATTAGGAAAATTTACTGAGAGTGAAAATCTAACGTCGCCATTTAAATAAGGCGTATGATTCACTAAGACCAGTGTAGCTTTATAGCTAAACTGTCCACACTGAACGAAACTAGAAGCCTGAAAACTTCTTGCATGAAAAATAAGGAAGTAGATTAATTAACTCTCCACAAATATAGTGGGTGGTGAAATGAACATCTTGACATAAGCAGCAAATGCCAGTAAGGGAACTTCGCCATGAAAGTTAACTGTAAAATTAAAAACATAGCGACTCATGCCATGTGTAATTGTTTTTTATAAGAAGTGTATCTGAAGGATTTTGTGTAGCAGTAGCGGCATGTTAATATAGAAATAACCTGTGATTAAAAATTAACGATCGGTTGAATTAGTACCTTTATCTGGACAATTTCAGTTAGTTAGAAGTTGTTTGAGTCAAGTATATATACCCATCATATCAGGCGTTTTGCTTTAACAGCAATTCTAACCAACTGATCGATTTGCTCAATACATTTGTTTCAAAGATACAAAAGGTAGGTCATTTCCATAGCTTCAGAAATGAAGAGTACAGTTAAAGAAGAGGGTTGGATTGATAGAGCCACAAACGACGAGTTGCTTAAAGCTATAACAGAAATACAGTAAGCATAGATATGTAATTGTTCTCGATAATTTAGAAGCCATATTTCCGAAGAATCTTTGGAAAATGAATGTTACAAGAGCTTTATAGGCAAACTAGATATTGAAACAGAGTTTGTAAAATATATGTGAATAATTTTTATCACCGCAACTCATCAGGAAAGTTATGCCATCTCTGAGTAGGAGGGCATCAATGGTGAGAAAGCGTTCAAAGAGTAGGAGTTCTGCTATAGATAGGTTTGTCACGTTGACAAATGAACAGAAATGTCTTATACTACAAGCACAATATGAAGATCTCAAAAACGAGAGCGAACAGGCAAGAATTAGCTTTGAAGAAACACTTGATCTACAAAAGGTAATAAATGTGTGACTCATAATAATGGTACTTTTCCCTTTTCATCAGGCTATTTCTGAAGAGTTGAAAGCACGTCAAGAAGAAATCCTGAAGAATTATAACCAATTTTGCAAACTAGTGGAAAAAAAAAACTCATCTAAGGGTATTCAGATTGTTCCAGCTGAGAAGGTCCTACGTTTTTCGGACGACTACTCGAAATTTCTTGTAAGTATAGTTAGTTTATTACATTATCTATTGCTCGATGTTGGAGTTTATTTTTATATGGTAACTACTCTGAACTTATTGAGGGCGTAACTGATTAACATAAGCTCCTAAGTGAGCAAAATATGTTTATTCGTGAAATATGTTACGACCCTTGAATCCTGTTTTATGCTCAGACGTCCAGGACTTCACACTGTTCCTAAGGAAGACACTTATTGACTACTCCTTATCATAAATGCTGGTATAGCATATTTAAAAATATATATGTCTAAAAAATCAGTCAATTGTAACCTTGGTGTTGGCTAGGTTCACAACTTGGCATTCTTTTTTTCCTGGACACTTTCTTATTTATTCAGGCGCAGATAAACTAATAATTATGGTGTGTAGCAAATATCGAATTACATAAGGGAGCCAATTACAGCACTGACACCTTAATTACTAATTTTCGACCAGTAACGTCGAATCAAAATCCCAACCACAAAATTTTGTCTTGGTCTCACTTGTGATTGAATTTCATGGATTAAAAAAACTGTCTATTATTTTTAATTATTTGCGTACTAAAAAGAAACAGTATTCAATTCGCAAGAGGAAACAGACAGAAAAAGAAATGGTTGGAAGTGTAGCAGTAAATAAAAGAACACACCTGAAAATAGTCAAATTTTTGAGCGATCAAAACAAGCACTGAATTCCTGGCGTCACTCCAATGTTTTGTTTATGTTAGTCAGTCATTCATTTGAAAAATTAAGATTTTAATGATTGAGGTTTCACTGAGTTCTCTGCACAGCAAACCAATGATTGAATTTTATTTGACAATTTTTATGGAGAGTATAAAAATTAACTCATAAGGTATACCGTCTTGACAAGCAAACAGACCTAAGAAAACCATCCAGTGTTATATACACTCATAACTTAGTTCTTAATAAACGAAAAACTATGAAATTGGGAAGACACTTTGCAAAGAGTAGAATGGTTAGAATAACTCTAAAATATAGCACTTCAACTTCGGTTGTTGTTATCCTAAAGGAAAACATAAGCCTCGTTATAATGAGTAGTACAATAATAAACTGTAGCTGATTCAGTCGAAGCGCAAACTGTGGAAACTGTTAGTAAAGAGCAAAATAAATAACTTGGTAATCTACTTGTATTTCTAAGTTGAAGCAGTTTGACCTACTAATTTTGTGAATTTTATATTTACATTAAATTATTGCTTAATTTCTGTCAACTAATGACGGTTTAATACATTTAAATATGTCTATTGATCGAACATTTAAGTTGATATGTAACACTATACATTTTGACCAATTAAAATCAGCTGTGGGATCATTGTTGATGCATAAATAAATCTTCATACACAGTTTTGAATTGTTCTGTGCTTCGAGCAACATCAGTCTTGTCACATGTATCAAGTAATAAATAGCAGTTTATTTCGCAGCCATAACAACATTCATACCAGTACTAGCAGCACAACCATTTCATCAAGTCACTACACGATATATATTCAAATACCCTCCGGACTACCGATATTCTAGAAGCCACAGTGTCAACGAACCATGTGTATTTAATGTGACCTAAAGCGTGCTGCAAGTAGTTGCTGAGTTGCATATGGAAAGCTGAAACTTTAAAATAGGCATGAAATTACGAACTTTGTTAACATTGATAGTAAATATCTAACTTTTGAGGAGGCTTTTAATAACATTTTCAAATAACGTGAAGTAGTTTATATATTTTTGGTTAAGGATTTAAAACAATTAAACCCACATATGAATCCCAGTAAAATGTGCATATTTGTGAGGTTTAGATTGAAAAAAGACTGCGTTCGCTATGTAACATCGTTAGGCTAGCCGATATCACTCCATAAACGACAATATGATATGATAGTAATATACATCTAGATTGGATATGACGTAACAAACAAAACATGCTGATTAAATCTGGAAATGAACAGTCTTAGTAACTGAAATAAAAATTTAGACACATTAAGTCATAATTTCCTAGCGAAATAAAATATGCACAAATTAGTACAAAACGTTAGTTACAATGTAACCTAATACTGATCATTTTTATAGTGTTTTTGAATAGTTTATTTCTTAACATTGTATACATTATAGGACACTCAATCGGATAAACTTCGTCTGAAAAATAGTTCTATAAAAAGTAATTTGAAGAAAGTTGAAGAACAACTGAGGCAAAAGGAATCTGGCGATGTGTTAGGTGCTGTCGATTTTGAACAGATGAAGATAGATAACACTAAATGTCTTGCAGAGATTGATGAAAAGAATCATAATATTCAGAAAATGAAAATAACTGCTGCAAGGACACTTCAGGTCTTAAATGGATACAAAGTAACAATATTATTCATAATTGACTGTATGTTTCATTAGAAAAAGTTAAGTGAAGCATTACAAGAGGAGAAGTACATTAAAGAAGAACAAAAGCAACGTCGAGAAATGCAAAAGCGCGTCGAAAGTGAGACCATCCTAGCAAAGCAGGTACCTCTTTTTGAAATCAAGAAGTTAGCCTATATATATATATATATATATATATATATATATATATATATATATATATATATTACAGCTCATAAGGAATATTTCTTACAATCAATCGAAACACTACAAATACCAGAAAGCAATTAGGCAGTATGAAATTCCGAAGCAAGATTCTTAGACAGCATATATGCGACGTAAAATCAGAAAAGTTAGCCAATAAATAACAAGCATTGGAAAGGTTACGGCTTTAGTTAGTTGTATAACACGTAAATTTTGAATTCCTACAAAAATATGACTATTGACATCTTACTTATTATCAAGGCTTAAATCTTATATAGCGATTTTTGATATTAGGCTGCTGAAAATATTTGTTTGATAATCCAATGCACACAGTGATGAAGTGAAAAATGGCTGTCTCTCATAAAAACTGAGTGAGAAGCACATAGGTACACCACTGTTATCTAACTGATTGATACGAACATACGCTTTTGGGAGTGTAGATCGATAGGTAGCCTAGCGCTCAGATAAATGCTTGGTTGTATATGATAGTAAATACATCAAATCATGGCGAAACATTTTTATTATGGTGATAAAACTCCTTGAGCCAACTAAATATAATCGCAGACGCTTTAACTTCCGTTTTTTATGAAGGAACTACGATTAGAAAGAACTCTTAATGAAAAATTCGAGGACCAAATCTCGTCATATCGTGTACCATCTGTAATCGATTTTGTAAAATTGGTTAGCGAAGAACGAGATTTAACACGCAAACAAAATATATACACTCGAAGACTAAAGATAGCAGAAGTAAGTCACGTTCTTTAGGTATAAAATGCTGTGTATTACATGTCAAATAATTGCACTGAATATCCAGAGTTCTACATTACTATTTTACTAATGCTATGCAGTAGTTTTTGTTGTTTATTTATTGACACATTTATATAAAGCATGAACATGGTTTACAACATTTTTTAGCATGGACATTAAACTTTCAATTTCAAGGATTAGGAAATAATATAATAACTGAAAACGACAAACACTAACATAGATTTATAGAAGATTTAAATTTATTAACACTAGGAATTGAAAAAATAAATAGATTGTGCAGTTACCAATTATTAGTGAATGACAACAGGTAGGCAAAAACAATTTACACTCATTTTTTCAGGAAAAAGAGCTCAAGTAAGGAAAATTAGCTTTATATTGTTACACATTGAATTGTACTATTAGGATAGGTAAGTGAGAACACATGAATAATGCTGTAATATTCTTATTTGTATTATTTCGAAGTAAAAATAATCGTCAACGTACTCGTACCAGTATAAGTTTGTTAATTCAAAACTGGAATTTACATCAGCAAATGCTTATATTTATGGTGAATGTATTAGATAACCTGGAAATTAAATGGAGATATTTAAATTACAATTCTTCTTCAAGGTGGAACTACGTTGTCAAAAGAAACTCTGGCTGAAAAACCAACGGGGTAGCCTTAATAAAGCAATTTAACCGATGGCGTCTACGGAACAGCTTCATGATTATTTTTGAAAATAAAATTTATTAGGATGATATGTATTTATTCATCGTAATAAAGAAAATATTGAATCAGAATTTAAACTCTTTTCTATAAAATAGTTTGAATTGCTAAACATACTAGCAGAGGAATAAATTAGGCATGTATGGTAAATTGTTTGGATTGAAGCTAATTTGCACCGTAAAAGATTTTCTTTAGTCAATCAAATTAATTTACTTAAAAAACTTAAACACCGGAATTACTTTTTACTTACTTACTCTTGTAAATCCCAATGAAGCATAGACCGCCGACCAGCGTTCTCGAAGCCACTCTGTCATGGGCCTTCCTTTCTAGTTCCATCCAATTTTTGTTCATTCTTCTCATGTTTGTCTCCATTTCTCGGCGTAATGTGTTCTTTGGTCTTCCTCTCTTCTTTTGGCTTTGAGGATTCCAAGTGAGAGTTTGCTTTGTGACGCAGTTCGGTGCTTTCCTCAATGTGTGTCCTATCCACTTCCAGCTCTTCTTCCTCTATTGGGATCTGATTTGTTCTCTCCCACAGTAGGTTATTGCTAATAGTGTCCGGCCAACAGATCTGAAGTATTTTGCGTAGACAACTGTTAATAAACACCTGTATCTTCTGGATGATGGTTTTCGTAGTTTTCCAGGCTTCGACCCCATATAGTACAACTGTCTTCATATTTGCATTGAAAATTCTGACCTTGGTGTTGGTTAACAGACATTTGTTTTGAGTTCCAGATGTTCTTCAGTTGTAAATATGCTGCTCTTGCTTTGCCGATCCGTGCCTTCACATCTGCATCAGATCCATCGTGTTCATTGATGATGCTGCCCAAATATGTAAAGGTTTGTACATCTTGTCCGTCAATTGTGATTGGATTGTTGCATGCTGTGTTGTATCGGAGTCCTGCTTTTCCCCTTGTGAATATTGAGACCTATTGCTGCTGCTACACTGGTTGTCTTCTCCTGCATTTGTTGTTGCGTGTGCGATAGAAGAGCCAGATCATCTGCGAAATCTAGATCTTCCAGCTGCATCCTAGCTGTCAACCGTATCCCTGCTTCTTTGAGCCGCGACACCATAAAAGCCACCCAAGTGTCTTTCCCTTTTGCTTAGTTTACCTACTTGAGTATTAAAGTCACCAGCCACTATTGCTACATCTGAACGCCTAGCTTTTCGGAGAGCTTTTTGTAAAACTCATCTTTTACATTATATGAGCTGCAGTTAGTGGGAGAGTAGGCAGAGACGACGAAGAGGTAACGACGAGTGTCCCTATCCTTCCCAGTCCTTACTGTTCCGTTTAGTCGGACAGCACACAAACGACTGTCTACTGGGATCCAGTCTAAGAGAGCTAGTTCTGCCCTAGGGTCAATCTTTTCTAAACCCTTCCTTCCTTGTGAGAAGGCAGCATCGCTGCAGATGCTGGTTGTCCGAGGGAAACACCTTACTAACGTGACACATCTGTACAGTCAGCAGTGCGACTTCGCCCTCAGACCTTGAGTTGCTGCTTTTAGACTTAGCGTTCTCCAATCGACCTGCCTGGCATGGTAGAACCTACAAGAACGTATGTTCCAGCCAATATAGCTCGGTTGAATCATCACGATAGGCAAGCCCGACCACCACGTAAAGGTAGCAGCTACGGTCGGAATAACCATAGAGGGATTAGTTTGACTAATATAGCATCTAAAATACTAGCCTCAATAATTATCGGACCCCTAACTATAACTCGTCAACTGCAAACACCAGAAAATCAGGCTGGCTTCAGACCTAATGGCGGCTGCATCGACCACATATTCACCATCCGTCAGACTCTAAAACACAGGAATGCTTATCGGCGTCCGATAATGGTGGTCTTTCTTGACTTAGTAGCGGCATTTGACTCTTTAAACCGAGAGGTGCTGTGTCAGTGTCTGTCATTGAAGGGTGTACCTCAAAAGTACATAAACCTCGTCAGGGCTCTTTACTTGGATACTACCAGTCGAGTGAGAGCTTATGGAGAACTGTCACCTGGTTTTACAACTTCAAGTAGTGTCCGGTAAGGCTGTCCACTATCTCCATTTTTGTTCAACTTCATCATAGACCTACTGCTGGAAATAACGTTCTCGTCGTCTGAATTTTTGGGGATTGATCTCCTACAAGGAGGTTCACTTATCGACTTAGAATACACAGATGATATAGTTATGTTTGGTGAATACGCTGAAGAATGCAGTGTTTTGGTAGCACTTATATTATCTTGGAAGTCTTATCAGTCCTAATGAGTTGGTGTCTGACGAAATCTCTGCACGGATTTGGCTTTTGCCAACTTACGTCACCTTTGGAGAAGACGAGATATCCGTCTATCAATTAAAGGAAGAGTATGCTACTCAGTAGTTCGTTCTGTTTTACTTTATGGCTGCGAAACGTCGCAATTAAGGGTAGAGAATACTCGTTAGTTACCATTATTCGATCGCAGATGTCTTAGAAATATTGCTCGCATCTGCTGGGAACATTGAGTAAGTAGTAGTGAGGTTAGATGCAAGGTATTAGGGAATGATTGTAAATCGGTTGATGAGGTTGTGAGTTTTCATCGACTGAGATGGTCGGGCCACGCATTACGCATACCCAAGCACCTACTACTGTGGCGCGCAATGCTGACTCATGTTAGAGACATGGCAGGAAGTTAGAGAAGACGAAACCAAAACATGGTATCAGTTCATGAAGTCACTGACTTTTGATCTGAGCCATGTTGGTAGATACAGGTTACTTGGAGTTCGCGCGAATATCGTAATGAATGGTTGGAGACTCTGGGTGGCATGGCTTAGAAGGGATCACAATGGCGTAGGTGTATATACTCCTTGCCTTTCCTTAAACCATGGGATTAAAATTTCTTTATACCTTTATTTCTACAAACTAATTCTCTCTTCCTGTATTATATCCTTAACACAATCTTTTATATATTACTACCATTGAAATAACCACTGTGAATTTGGTGTTCATCCTGTTGTGCTAATGAGGTGTGATAACTTGGACCGATGCACATATGTGCCTGGTCCTACGTTGTAGCTGACTGACCAGCAAGTGATGATCTAAGGCTGTATCAGCTCCTCTCTTGTTTTAACATCCTCCATAGTCCTCCCGAACTTTTTATTGATGCAGATATGGTCGATTCGGTTCTGTGTAGTGTGATCCGGTGAAATCCATGCGGCCTTGTGTATCGGTTTTGTGGGAATATGGTGCCGTCTAACTTTTTATGAGTGTGTATTTAAAAAAAATCTTAAAACTATATATACATAAGTAGGTAATCTGCGATGGCACATAGTGATACTATCGGATGCAATCTAAATATGTTGTTCACTTAAAAGGCATAAATCGCAGAATGTTCGACTTAACTGTTATAACGTCTTTATGCAAGTGGAATTCTACAACTCACTAAAAAACTAAAGCAATTCGAAAATTCACCACGAAGATCTGCACTTCAGTTTGTTATTCAAGTAAATGACTTTTCACACAGCTAGAAGACTGTGGGTAACAAGGATAATTATAGCGATATAAGAAAGCAATACAGTGACAAAATAGGCATTTATTTTACAAAAAGTCAAGTTCAATACAAACAGAATGTATTGCAAAAATGTCCATCATGATAAAAAGCAGTACTATTCACTACGATCCCATGTTTAAGGACGAACTTAGATAAATCACAGCGGGGGAAAGTATATAAATGAGCTAGTAAGAGAACCAATAAAAATTAAAGCATATAATACACAATTAAATATCTTCACGATAAAAAGAAATATCAATTAAGTAACTTTATGCATATAAAATTCTACCAGAAATATGTTGGTAATAACACATAGCTAACTGGATGAAGAATATTATCTCCTATTAGATAAAATGAAACTTAGCTATCACAATTGATTGATCACTGGGTGATGATCAATGTCATGTGTGTCAAGTCCTTCTTAGTACAGATCAAATGCTATCGACCAAGTTGCAATGTGTCCACCAGTCTAGGTGACCCGACACTGAGTGCATTATGTTGAGATAAGCATTCGATCTGCACTAAGGACTTAACACACATGACATTGATCACCACCCAGTGACACGGGATCGAATCCGTCAGGGAGCACCAGTTCCCTCAGAATTACAGGTAAACCTTGCTGACGAGTGCCAAGTAGAACGAAACCCTGGTTCAGGGTTTCCTGTTGACTACCTCCAACCACCATTTTATCGAAACTAAGCTATGTTACACACGACATGAGAACGAGATTATAGATAACCGTTCACAATAAATGACTTTTTAGGTATCCTAGTACCACGTTTTATGCGAACAGAAATATTCTGCAAAGAAATTTTGAAACAAAAAGTATCCCATCAGAAATTCCAGTATTTCGGACGCATGACGGATTCTACAACAAAAGCAAGTTTTCAAGCAAAGTTAAAGGAAAAGTCAGTCAAACTTTGGTGCTGATCATAGATCAACATATTTTCTACGGATTATCCTCTCTAGTGTTCCTCGTGAACAATTAAAACAAGATTTAAAATCCTAATTTCTCCTTGTTGTTAGCTGAAAATTAAAGTTGATTATGATTATCTGATGTTTGTAGTTTAACCTGAGCTACTTACGTTTTGTATGTGTATATGAATAGAAGAAACAGAAATATATGTACACTAAGATAATTTCACAATACCGATAGACTATCCCACTTATTTTGGAAATTTAAACAACCGTAGTGGGTGGGTATCTGACAAAACATCAGAACGGATTCAGTAAGCTTGATTTTCTGATGAATCATGTCACATGTGACGTAGTCACGATGTTCATATTCTAATCAAAGGACAGTTTTACGAAGTACCAGTTCGCTCTGTTCTACTCTATGGGTGGATCATAGCAATCAACAGTACATGATATTCGTAGGTTACCATTATTCGATCATTAATGTCTTCAAAGTATCGCTCCTATGTTTTGGGGATAACTAGTGGCCAAATCTGAGGTTTGGCATAGGA